CACACAAGATAGGTAACTAAGTGAGGAACGTCCGTGGCAGGCACACAGCACACAGACCCGGAGGAAGAATAAACTTTGCAAAGTCAGAGATGGAGAGTGAAGTGAATAGGAAGAAAAGGGATGCTGATTGCTGAGGAAGGAGTAAAGAGCCAGGTCACACAGAGGTCTGTACACGTAGAGAATACAAAACCCACTTAGAAATCTATCACATTTAAAAGACAGAATGATGGGTCTAAAAAAAAGATTTCAATACAGAGAATTCAAGCACCAAATTTCTATCATTGTGCAATCTCAAGCTCTCTAGATGAAGCAAAGGACGGCAACTCACTTCACTGGTCAGAGCACTTATTTCCCGGTCGGCCTTATGCAGTCTGCTGATAAAACAAGTGTTTTGTTCATTGCTTGATTGTAGCTCTTTTTCTAAGCGCTCAGCCTGTAGTTTGGCTGACTGCTTTTCAGCCTTCAAGACAAAAGATTTTAAAATTTATAATCTTTCACATTATATTACAATAAAGTAAGCATTATATACAATGTATATGTAATCAAATACAACAATTATTCAAAATGTAAATAACGACTAACACGCCCCAAAGAAACAGTATTCTCAGTTGACCTGTAGAATTCAAATCTTTCTCTTCAGGAGAGAAAGTACTTACAACATTCATTTACTACGTCAGTATGAGAATGCTGACATAATTCTAACTTTATTTTTAGACTTTCTAATCCACAAGCTTTGGAAAAACATTTTGAAAGATTAAAAGGGAGGTTGACAAGTCCCAGAGAAGTGAGTAAACGGTGTTTGCTGCCCATCTTGGTGACCAAGTTAGATCAGCAGAACCTAAATGGTGACAGCAAGTACCAAGGCCCACTAACTATCCTCTGACCGCCACACATGTGTTGTGGGGCACAGGCACTCAAGTGCGTATCTGTGCACAGAAAATAAAAACAATATAAAATAGTTGAAAACCCACAATCAATGCAGAATTTTTTTTCTAAAAAAAGAGATAAATAAAAAAAATAGAAAATAGTTGACAAGGGGGCTGGAGAGATGGCTCAGAGGTTAAGAGCACTGACTGCTCTTCCAGAGTTAGTGAGTTCAATTCCCAGCAACCACATGGTGGCTCTCAACCATCTGTAATGAGATCTGGTGCCCTCTTCTGGCCTGCAGGCATACATGGAGGCTGAATACTGTGTATATAATAAATAAATAAATCTTTAAAAAAAAATAGTTGACAATCCACAATCAATGGAAATTTTTTTTTCTAAAGAAAGAGATAGAGACAAAAATTCAAAATTCTCGGGGGCTGGAGAGATGGCTCAGAGGTTAAGAGCATTGCCTGCTCTTCCAAAGGTCCTGAGTTCAATTCCCAGCAACCACATGGTGGCTCACAACTATCTGTAATGAGGTCTGGTGCCCTCTTCTGGCCTGCAGGCAGACACACAGACTGAATACTGTATACATAATAAATAAATATTTTTTAAAAAAATTCAAAATTCTCACCTGTCCTGGAAGCTTCTGAAGTACGATCAAAAAAGCTGTTGCCCTTACCACACAATTAAGATTCTTATTTAAGTCTCTAAATTGACAGAAATTTCCTCAAAGTGATATTCAAAGTGGAAAACCTGAAAGCTTTTATAAACATTTCTACTCAAGATAAATAAAATGACAGTGTTTTTGTACCTACAGGCTAAATCTCAGTTTTTTATTTTCTATGCATGTTTACGGTATTAAATAAGAACTATATTCAGCTAATAACTCAGGGAACAATTATCTTCTTCAATTATAAAATTATTTTCTTTGTACACAACAACAGCCAAGAAATGCTAAAGAAAACAATATTTGCTGTCATGTATTTCTCATTTTACCTGACAAATGATAACTAAACACAGGCTCTTCTGAAAATGTCACATCATCTGTCACCGTTCACCACAGCCTGAACTAATCACTCCAGAAGACCTTGGTCAAAGTTCACACTATAGTCAACTGCAAACACCCTCTTCCTCTGTCACTTAGTAAATATATTAAAGACTGTGAAGTGGCAACCTAAACATCTTACTGTAATTAGCTTAAGTCTAAGGGCCATTGATACTGGCAAGTTTAATCCTGATAAGTACTAACAAAGACTTCACTCTCCCCTCTTAAAAATAAATGAATGAATGAATGAATGAATGAATAAATAAATAAATAGAAAATTGAATCTTCAAAACTCAAAGCAATCCATGTCCCAGCTGGATCCCCCCATCATCTTATATTTTGAAATTGGCTATACCACAAACCATGTGCCTTTATCTTCCAGCTCAACCATTATGTAACTATTCCAAAGAAAGAAAAAACAACTCTGACCAACAGAAATGTAAGTGGAGACTGTTCTTCCATTCCTGACAGCCCAGACCTGAATAATCACACAGGAACTAAATTACAACACTGTTTGGCCAATAGTTTAGGCATATCCCTAGCAAACTCTTATATCTTAAATTAACTCATTTCTATTAAGCTGTGTATCACCATCAGGTTGTGGCCTACCAGTAAGGTTCTGGTGTTATGGCGTCTTTCTCTTTTGGCAGCTACATGGCATCTCTCTGGCTCTGCCTACTCCCCTGCCCCCAATAGACAGAGAGACAGATAGACAGATAGACAGATAGGTAGATGGATGGATGGATGGATAGATAGATAGATAGATAGATAGATAGATAGATAGATAGATAGAT